ACGAAAACGAAGAATGATATATAGTTATGATGGTGACGAAAATTCTTAAAGAGTAATTAATGTCACAATAAGAAGAAGAAGTAAAACCTTTTTTTTCTGTACGCGTTTAGTAAAATATTTTTGAACAGCAATTACTATTATAATGCCTAGTTTGTTCTGTTTTTCTATCTTCCGGATTATTTGACAGCTATAATCATAATTGATATAAATCAAATTCAACTCAATATATTTATCAGTCTACTTAAAACTTCAATATTCAATCAAACGTTGTGTTTACAAACCATGACACATGGACTAAATGTAAAAAAAAATTCACAAAATCATTCGCAAACTTAAAAATTGTTGAATTTTATTGCATTTATGGTGAAATTGGTTTACATAAATCGAGATTTATACTTTCAATCATATGAAAAATTTTGAAAATAAAATTACAGCAATAAGTTACAATTATGAAATAGTTCAACCTAACTCTCGTAGTCTTTATAAAGTAGTCATTAATCTAAAAATGATTTATCGCTTGTGTGAAGAAAAGTTGAAACCCATATTTTTCATGATTGTAAATTTTTGAATTTTTTTTGTCCTCGATTCTATTCTAATAGAATAAAAATTCGACGGCAAAATGTACTACCTTTACCGTTGGACACATCATATACAATACAAAATAATTATGTTTATATAAGTATATGCGTTTATCGTTGTACATTGTTATCGTCATCCTGTCGTGTCGTCGTACATGCGGGATGCGCACGTATAATGGGAATAAAACGAATAAACAATATCTTTTTTAGTAATTTTTTCAACCATTCCTAACAGCCGTTAGGTTAACGCGTTCGTAATAAACTATACCTACGACCTACTGTAATAAACATATTCCAGGAAGACGAACGAATCTCCGGGCTGTGTTTAGGTACCTGTATAATGTATTACATAATAATATATACGAATATATACGAGATAGCAATAACTGAAGCTATAGGCAAAAAAAAAAAAAACGTTTTTAAAAACCACGTAGATACATATGGCTACTATTTGATGGTGATGAACAACATATTATTTTTAATTATTCATACTAAGTTCATTTAAATTTTAAAACTACATTTAAAAATTTTACGACAAAATAAATTTCAAAGAACTTGTAAGGTTGTATACTTATATTCAAAGATATGATATTTCTTAAAACCTTGATAGAGTATTTCCTTGATTCTCAATACCCATTATGTATGTATCATTTTTTATTTCAGTAAAACATACATTAAACATTCGAACACATTTTAACAAACCGACTCATTATGTACAGGAAAATATAATCCAAACAAATTTTTCTCTTGGGTAAAACAGTAAACTACTGTTGAATATTTAAATTTGAATTTGAAATTAAATTTAAAACAAAATATAACTAAAAAGGATAATAAATATTAGTATAATAATAGTAATCAAACATAATTTTCTAACCAATTATTTATTTCTCTAAAAATAAAATCATTTAAATGGCATGAATTTTGTGACGATCATATGAACACATAAATAATACCTATATATATTTCATACTCCAAATGAACGTCTACTATATTTTTTTAGTCATAAGTTAGTAGAAGTTTGGAATGTTTTACGTTTCTAAGTATATTATATTACTACAAGTAAATTAAATGTATGGAGTAATATGAAAAAATACTCTAGTCTCATCCAACCAAGCAGTCTAAAAAAAAGAGACTTGAAAAGCAAGGGTGCCGTGACATGCTAATCTAACCAATCAAATTTTTATCATTTATCATTTACTGTACTTCTAAGCGTACAGACAAACATAGAAACGTAGGAAATCCAAATGGCTGCAAGATGGCCGACTATTATATATTGGCCGATATATAAAAATTCATTATTAAATTAAATTTGAATTGTAATCAAATGAAAATCAAAGTCATTCTTTGCGAATTTTTTTTTTTTCAGATCTAATTCAAATTTAAATTTGTAAGTAAATTATTCATTGTTTTATTATTTTTAAATTCCGTGAATAATAGCTTCTTGTTCTTATTGTACTAATAGTTTATATTGTTTCAAGAAGTTAACTATTGCTTAAGTGATTGATCAATATGATATTTAAATTAAGGCAGTTATTGTATTATTTCCCGTAACTGGTACAATGCAGTGTCACACACCACTACATATTTTTTTTTTATACATATCTGTTCCAAATTGTTATTATAATTTGGAGGTTACGTATACTTCTGTTTGGAGGTAAAATTTATGTGATAAGATAGGTTTTGGAGGATTTGTTCTTTATTATTACCAGTTATTTTTGATATAATATGGTGAGCGGTATCTCACATCACACTGTACTATCTGTGGAACTTTATTTTTTAACGTTATTTTTACTTAAAGAAATATACTTTTAATTTATTTTTATTTTTAATTTAGTTCCCATTATATTTTCTGCTATTATATACATGTTTTAGGTATACAATGTGTATTTGTTACTGACTACTTTCAAGAGGACCAATCGCGGGACCCTCAAAATCCAGTACTTAAATCTTAAAAATTTCTTAGGATCATAACATTTTCTACTCGTATACAAAAGAATATATTTTTTACACCTCCTCCTTCGAATTATCACTTCTGGAACATTATTAGCAAATTAAAGTTATTAGTTTATTAAGTTAAACTTTTGTAAATTAATATTTATCAGTCAATTGGTAGTTTTTTTTTTAAAAATCACAATATTCTTAATTTAATTTATTCTTAATTCTTAAAGTTTTCTACAAATCAAATATTGAATAATCACAAATAAATAAATATTAATGTATTAAATTATGAATGAATAATGATTTTTCTGGTATTTTATACCGAGTAATAACGCAAATAATTAAACGTTAACCATGGTCCTTCAACAAACAATTATTTATTTCATTTAAAAATAAGCAGTGTAATATAAATTTATTAACATCAGCAGGTCAATATATATTAATATGAAACACAATTTACGACGTATAAATTAATTATACATATATATATATATATAGATAAAGATAGCCTTACTATTTCTATTAAAGATATACCTTGATAACTGTTAATTTTGAATTATTTTTGAATCGTTTATTTTCTAAAAATCCAGATAATGACAAATAATTGCAATTTTTAAATATTTGTGCCTAATGTATAAGTTGATTAATTTTAATAAATTCATTTTTAGCAAGTGTAAAAAGTAAAAAATGGAGGTAAAATTGATGTGTTTACAGTGGGTTTTTTGGAAATAATATACTGTTGCTAAATACACTAAATTATACCGTATAATAATATACATATTCGAATATATATATTATATCCATGCTAACTGTTAGTGGGTTATACGTCTAATTTTAATGATATATTAGTCATAAACATGCATTGTTGATCCATCCAAGTGTTGTGTGATAATTGTATTTTAGGTATTTGTGGTATATACCTCACACACATTGTCATTTTTGTTTTTGACGTTTTTAACAAGATTTAAGTCTTTTTCATTAATACGTATTCATTCATCACTGTAGAGTAAATTAAATTTTTAATTTTAACACGCCTTAAGTACTTTAATTTATTAGAAAAGTTGTTTAATTTTATAATTTTTAATATTATGTGTCAGCGATTTTTAATATTGATTTCCATAGAATTCAACATAGTTGTATACTATTCTGCTCTAATAATTCGCTTGTCAATAAAACACTTAAGTCAATAATAAAAATTTATTTTTAGATGAACATTTTTTTTTATCGTTCTTAAAATAAATTTTATTGTTATTCCAGTAGATATATCGTATACTGTATTATAATACAGAGTGTTTCTGAAATGCTTGAGGAAACTAGTGTCCGCGTACTCTCTAGAGTAATCTTTTGAAATTTTTTTTCTCCTTTCAAAACCTAGGTTTTATCCAATTATCTTCAGAATATTATTTCGAATCTAAAAATTTATATTTGTAAAATATTTCTCACAAATGTCTTACGTAGATCGGTAAGCGACATCAATGTCGGGCTTGTTGCCCGTTTTTCACGCCCGAGTCACCAGGATCCAAAAATGTGATATAACATAAAGATTTGTTAATCTGCAAGATAAAAGATGGTGAAATCGACTTGTTATTTCACCATCATAAATATACATAAATAAAATATACTTTATTAGTGCTTTATAAAATGTGTCTATATTCTGATGAGCCATTGTTATACCTACTTTGTTTATATAAAAAAACAATTTTATACTCTGTTCGTTAAATTCATTTTTGTTCCAGTCTAAAATGTATGTGTTTATTAAAAAAAAAAAAACTTTCCGCTAACAATATAACCCTTTAATATCCTAATTATTAATCATAATTTAACGTTCCCTTTTAGTTTGATTTATTCATAAATCCTAAAGAATTCTGGCCTCTAGTATTAAGAAAAAACAATTTACTGAGAAGACTTTATACTACGAATTTTCCAGAAGAAACCTGCAGTATTTAATTTCCATTTCCATCGGGATTTCTATGAAACCACTAAGTCCCTCAAAGTATTTTTATTATTAGAGAAAAATTTCCGTACCACCTTAAACCTGATATTAGACTTCAAATTCGAGTCGAAATACGTATCGAATATTGAGTCTGCAGTTGTTGTGGTCGCTGTACACGGAGAGCAATAATATTTTCTACGGATGGTTCGACGAGACGGTAGCAGATGCTAGAAATGACGTGTTATACATTGTGAACAATCATCCGCGAACCGCTATGACCATCGTCATAATAATACTAATTTTCCAGACATATTACATATACGTATATTTCCATCGAAGGTTTACTATTGTCAAATTATTGTTATTATTATCATATTATTTTCTATTGAACACGGTTCGGGGCCGCCGTTCACGACGAAAAGGCAACGGCGGTAGCGGTTATCAGCGGTCGACGAATGGAAGGGATCGGTCACGGGGAGCGTGTCGGTTGACGGCGGTGGCGGTGGCGGCGCCTAGTCAAAGCCGTACCGCTCTCGTGCTCAACAGGTCCGGCGTTATCTCCGTGCGCCGAGCGGTTTGAAGCAGCAGCCGTGTTGAACCTCAACAAAACCGGTAATGATACAATAACATTATATTCATAATATATTGTACTGTTTTCCTTCAACCACGTTTTACCGTTCGTGTCTTCGAGTGGAAGGGTGTGCGTGTCACCCCGATACATTTCTCGTTCGCTGCTGCAGGGCGGAAGCACGCGCGCTAAACCTCTGCGCGTGCCGTGTAACGAGCGGCACGCATTACGGTCCCGCGTAAACGGTTCGATCGGTACATCGGCCCGCACGTGCGCGACGGGGGCCGTACTCGTCTACGAACGATTCCGTTGGCTGCTGCGGTCCACCGCTGATCATGACTTTCCGCACCAAGGGACACAAAAAACAGCAGCAACAACTACTGCAACTACAACAGCAAGAACAAGAACAAGAACAAGAACAAGAACAACAGCAGTACCAGCAGCAACATCAACACGACCGCAAACTCCACGGCAGCAACAACGACCATCGGAACCGATACGACAAGACCGAGGACCAGCACCAGCAGCAGCAGCTCGCTACGCCGCCGCTGCTCGGCGCTGGTGGCGGTAGACCTGCAGCAGTCGCGATCGCCAACGCCCCGACCACAGTCGCCCACGCGAACGCCGGCGGCACGCCTTGCATCTGCACCGCTTACGGTCCCCGGTGTTATGTCATACAGAAGGTAAGCGAACGCGCGTCCCGCAATGTACCCGCCCGTATATGTGGCTGCGCGAGCATACCGGACGGCACCGGAACCGCCCGCGATCGTGAACCCGGAACGCGGATAGAGAGAGAGAGAGAGAGAGAGAGAGAGAGAGAGTGAGAAAGACGCGAGAGAAATGTGCAAAGTGAGAGGAGACGCCGACACCGTTCATATGCGTACACTTGAGCGCGCGCGCTTAAACCTGTATTCGCGCACGCCTTTCTCCACGGGGCGAACGCTGGAGAGAGCGGTCATCAACTGCGCCAAGTGAGAGACGGCGTGGGGCCTCATTGATAATACGGTTGTGACGTTTTTGCGCGTGTTTCCGCAACGCGCATTTGCGCTCGGCAAAACGATATTGTTGTTGGCGGCGGCTGTGTGGTGGCGACCGTCAAAGCTAACATATGGTAAAAGCCGCCAGTCCCACCGGGTGACCTGACGGTACCCAACCCCCACCGGCGCGCTAAGCGGCCACCGCTACCGCAGCCCCCGCCGCCGCCGCCGCCGCCGCCACTGACGATCACCACCCGCTTCACTGGTCTGTGCGAGGGGTGCTCTTCACACGTAAAGAATCGATATTTGTCGCTCGCACTGTTTACGTGTGCCCAGTCTGGATGCGCTCGTGTACATACTTACGTAACAAACACGTATACGAGCGTGTACGTAAATTGCAGGCGCACGTATGTATTGCCGGGTGAAACACGAATTAATTAAAAAAACAAGCGAAACCCAACATCGTAATGTTAACGAATTTCATGTATTTATTTCGTCGTCCGCCGCAATGGCTGCTGCAGACACGCGTCCTCCCCCCAGCGGCGACTTGTTGTGCATAGTAGAATGAATTGACCGTCAATCGCGCACGTATTGTGGTATCTGCTGGCCTCTTACATGATCAAGGTGTGCCATGAATGTAGACTCGAAACACTTGTATTTGTTAAAAACATTCTGTATATATGCATGCCCAAGACACAGTCGTTTTTGCTCGTAGTTATTGTGCATCTACATACATAAATGTTTAGTACCACCACGCTGCAGTAATCACTAGACTTATTAACCGCATAACGTTAGTTATGGAAAATTCTATTTTGATGGTTGTATTATTGTTTAATATATATATACGTACATATACGTATTATACTATTATACTACATATATACAGGTTATACACATGATTGTGATGTTTCGGACTGATTTGTATTGTCGCCACCGCGGAAAAACTCGGACTAAAAAAAAAAAAAAAAAAACTCGGACCCTAATCTATACGAATAAATTTTTTTTTTGCATTTTTTTTCATGGTATCTTTCACGTTAATAAGTCTCGTGAAAATCATTATATAGTCTCGTTATCACACGGATCAAACTGCAAATCATATCGCTGCAACTGTACGGAAAAACTACGTCGCTATAGTAATGTTTTAAAATTACGTGTATGAGTACAAAAAATGTAAATACGGAAGCAAACATATGTTTTCCTTCGGCTGGCTACGCCTTAGAATTTGGAATTTGAAATTATTTTATTTATGTAAGTGCAGACGTACACAAATGTCGTGTTTTTACGGAAGAATAAAACAATTTATAAATAATGGTAGTCACGGATGAAAAACAAAGAAATTGACCGCGATATACCAAAATGCATTTTTATATCAACCATTGCATGTTTTTGACTGCGCTTTTTAGATCAATAATTTTGTTTAACCACGTTTATTTTGGTACATTCGATACCTATCCTTATAGTATAATGTGTATGTGTATGTAGATGTTTAATTTAATTAATATAACATAATATTATTACAGCTTATAAATTTTAAATTATATTTATTAGTATAAATGGTAATACAATACACGTACTACATTTCATGGATATAATATTAATGATCTGCATTTTATAGTAACATACTATGCTATTCTACTTACGATAGATATTACGTATGAATTAAGTACGCCTGTGTGAAGTCTGTATTTTATTCAGTATTTTATAGTCATTTTGTACGGATCAAAAGTGAATTGGAATACATTTTGTTTATGTAATGTGTATGTAGTATAATTATCTTAAAGAATCTATTAGATAATGAAATTATTATGTTATCCATCAAAATAATCGATAAGTTTAATAAATATATCATTCAGTTATGTATTCATAAGATATAATTTTATAGATAAGCCAGGAAGATCAGATTGACTATTCAGTATTTCAGTATAGTACATAAAAATCGTTTTAGCCCTCCATGTTTTTAATTAAGTTATACGATTTGTGATAAACTGAACATATTTAAATGGTTTTAACATAAATATTAACTTTATTTTTTGCTAAATAATCAGAATTATGCACAGATATTTATTGTAAGTCGAAGCGATGGATAATGGTGAACCATTTTTACATTTTTATAGTTTTTAATTCATAGTATTTTTATACTTGGTATGCGTTAATATCAAAATATGCTTGGAACTCAGTTTCATTGATATATATTATTAGTTCCAAAAATTAAATTAATCTATCATTAATAATAATGATTCATTATTCATTAGTTCTTTACGACATTATATATATTTATATATATCCATAAACAGTATAGTGTATGATATTTAGAAATATTTTAAAACTGACTTTTTATTAGTTTATTAATCAATATTATATACAATTTAGTGTACTAATCAGTGATGAGTTTTTTTTAATTATTTTATTTCCTTGTTAAATATTATTGATTTCATGATTGGATTTAATAGTTATTATGATAATAATTGAATTAAAAGTCAGGTAAATACGAAGGTAACAATTCGTTTGCATACATTGAACATTTTTTACCTGAAAATCGACGACTCGTTTGCACATAATGATATATGTTTATATAAATTAAATTAATTCTTAAATTAATTATCGATCATAAATCGCAGTACAAATTATCAAATATTCTACAACAATACATCCTTATTTTATAATCGATCGTGAAATATTATATGGTTTTGGATTTTATGTACTTTTTAGTATAGTCAGTAGTAGTTTATTATGATTGGTGAATTTTATAGTTGTAATTTTATAATTATAGTTGGTGTTGTTGCTCATGTCAGTGGTGCACAAAAGATTTTTGACAAGGGTGTCGAAAATATATATATCGAGGTACCCACCTACCCCTACCAGTAAAATCTAAGTTTAGGCATAGTATAACTCTTATTTTTAAGTGTTTTTGGTTTTTTCTTACTAACAAAGATACTAAAAAAAAATTTTTTTTAAATAAACCTAATATTAATTATTTTTCAATTTTCTGGGTATTAATTTATAAGTTTATAAACCATAATTTTTGGGATTAAGCCCTACTACTTATTCTCATGTTACGCTTTATTTTTAGGGTAAACATAATTAGTATGTTGATTTGGATAGCTGAAAAATTGGTTAGTATTAAATTAAACAAATATTCATCCAAGTTTACACAGAACTAGTCATCCACTAATTCTCTGAGGGGTGTCAGTCGACACTCCTGACCCCCCCTCCATCTGTGCGCCACTGGCTCATGTAATTCTTTAAGATGAACGTAGACATTTTTATAATGTCTAAAATTTTTGAAACACCACGAGGAAAATGGTATTTTAGTATCCATAAACATTATAACTGCCCATTTTATACATCCACATATACTAATTGATATACTCATGCAAATCCAAAATAAAACGGTTTTAAAACAAACTCAATAAAAACCAATGTATAGATTATTAAAGAAAGAAATTTTTACATAAGAAAGAATTTTTATAAAATATGTGGAATGAATATATAAATAAAACTATCAACTGCTTAGCTTATATAAAATATATTGGAAATAAATTCTACCAATATCATCCATATTCCACCATTTAATTGTAAAAATGATTTAATTTAATTTAAATGACTATTATGTAATAATACTCTGTTAAAACCTAGTTGTATTTTATAGGCATTTATGGGCTATGTATGACCAATACAAGGTAAATGTCCAATCAAGTTATGTTTTTATGTGCAAACGAGCTGTAGTCAAATATGAATATTAAAGTATAGTAATTTAATTCTTTCGTTTATAAGTAGATATATGTAAAAATGTAATTCAAATTGATTTATTCAAGGTGGTTCCAAGATTTTACTACTTACAAACAACAAAACAAAAACAATTTAAATTTCTTATCAAAATAATGATAAAATTTTGTATTCTTAATAAATAGTGTAATCATAGGAAGATTTATATCATGTATATATTATGCAGTTAGCATAGTTATGTAATAAATTACATTTTTGTATTATTTAGATGGAAATTGTGTACGACATGCAAACTGTCTAGAATTGTAATTAAAATTTTCAACTATCATTATGATTATTTTCAATAACCAATGTTTGTCAAAACAAATTTCTATTCTTGCTTATCAAGTGATTGATTATTAAGTGATATCTGTGATTTATTACCCTTAACGATAATTATATGTAAGACCCTGACCTAACGTAATAAAATTAATGTTAACATAATTTTAATACTGTTAACATCAAGTCAACACTAGTAAAATAATAGTACTTTTTGTAGATTGTAATTAATTTTATAATATATTGTACAATTTTCATAGGTAGAAGATAATTATACTTTTTATCACTTTTCGTAAAACTTTTGTTTTTTACATAGTTATACAGACTAATTTGTTTTATAAAAAAACTGTTTCGGAACATTATGCTGAAACCTTGAAACCTGCTTATTATTGAACTCTATTATGATTGTACACGAATTTCAAAATATCAATAGTTATGTTAATATCTTTTAATACTGTTATAAAATGTTGTCAAATCGTAATGCATCGATTATCGATATTAAATGTATTAATGAGTATCTAATGGTGAAACATTATTTTAAGTTAATTCTTATTAATTGTTTGTAGTAGGACATATTTATAATGCCTTACTTATAGAAGACTAGAAGAACGTAGAATATATTTATTTTTATAACAAAATACAATGCGGACTGTTTACATTTA